ACTCAAACGTGATACCTCAACAAGTCACACCAAATCTGATACCTCAACAAGTCTCACCAAATCTGATACCTCAACAAGTCTCACCAAATTTGATGCCTCAACAAGTCACACCAAATGTGATACCTCAACAAGTCACACCGAAAGCTCCTGAGGACATTTCATCACCTAATTCAAATTTTTCACATCAAGGAAGTATAAAATCGATATCTTCACAAGATTATCAAAGACCACTTACTTCTGGTCCTGGAGATTTGCGACGTCAATCATCAACACCTATTATTGGATCAGGTTCATCGCAACCTATTATACAAGGTCCAGGTGATGCACGCCGGCATTCTGTAAAACAATCACCACGGCATCGATCTCCACTTTCTAATAATAATATTTCACAATTTAATGATTCTCCTATGGATGATTTTTCAAGATCAAATACTGTACGAACCACATCTAGTTCTGCTAGTAATTCTATTGGAATTCAACTCGATGCACGTGGACGTGTTAAACAAGACGATATGGCTGAGGCATTTTTTGAAAACTCACGATATGCCTCACCAAACCAACAACAAATTCGTCCAGTTGGACCACCATATAATAATACAATTTCATCAAATGCATTTTCATACGGACGGGGAATACCTGCGACGCATATGCCTGCACAGAATTCACCAGTAATGAACAATAGATTACCATCTTCTGGAACGTCAGCTACCATAGTCAATAATAACCCACAATTAAGAACACAATATCCTCAACAACAAGTTTATTCGAATACAGGGTTTTATAATGTTCCTTACGATCCAAGACGGCCACCACCACAACAACAACAACCATATAACGTATATATGGGTCATCAGCGACCATCTAATGGACTAAGTGTGCAGCGTATGGATGATGGTAGACAAGTTTTATTTTTAGGTAAGTTGATTTGAAAAAGTTTTAAAATTAAATTGTTTTTTTTTTTTCAACACACCCTATTGTTCCAACCTTAATGAGTTTGTTACAATGTTATGGGTGTTATACGCGTATAAAAGCATATCTTGCAATATTATTCTATGATCAATCTATTAATAATGCTATCACCTATACTACAAGAGATCAAATAAAGTTTAATTATTAACTCAAATTTACTTAATAAATATAGTGAAAGCATTATATGATTATAAAACCACATCAGTAGAAGAAATATCATTTTTAGCAAGTGATGTGATCGCAGTGTTGGGTACAAATCCTGATGGATGGTGGGAAGGTGAATTACTTGATGATAGTAGAAAGAAAAGAGGATTATTTCCTAGTAATTATATTCAAATTTTGGAATAAACTAATTCATTTTTGTATTTAAATAATTTTTCTATTTTTATTAGAAAGTTAACTTTTATTAATATGAGTAGTATTTTTACAATAAATGTATTATTATAGTTATATATATAGTAGCATTTTTATTTTACTATAGTAAGATTGCAGTTTTTTTTGCAATCTATTTTATCTTATTGCATTAAATACTTGGTTTTTTTTTTCGGTTTTTTTTCATTATTTAATTAAATAAAAATAAAAAAAGATTGTATAATAATATAAATTTTATTATTTTTATTTGATTGTAATAACTGATAATATACAGTTTTAAGAGTAGAGTATGATGTTTTTTCTTTTTTTGTAATTTAAATTACAAAAAATTTTATTATTTGAGTATTACGGACACCAGGGACCTCGAAAATTCATTTCTATATTGATATGAATAAACAAATTAGAATAATAACAGATAATGCTTTAATGCTGTAATACGTACAGTTAGGGTTGTGAAATTACCGTAATTTTAAACTTTGAACACAAGATGAATTTACGTATTATAATACGACAGGGTGAAACCCGCGATAGAAACCCGCGAAAGTGGTTACGTTATTGATGCACTATCTAAAATAGTAATTAACCTATCACTAACCCTAACTAAGTAAGATCTGCATCAACAACGTAACTACCTCCGTCGCGGGTTTTACCCTTTCATATTATAATTTTCATCATGCGAATCATGTATTCGATGCAATAATACAGGCCAAACTTCTATAATGCTGGTACACACGAGGAAAATTACATGAAATTCGATTTACTGAAACTTAAGTAAAATTGTAATTTATGTAGCACAACCCTAAATACAGTACTTATAATGCTTTAATGCCTTAATATCATCATAATGCTTTAACGTTAATGCTTTAATATTAATACTATAATGCTATAATATTATCGTTATTCCGTAAAACTTTACTTTGCATCAGATATATTACGATACGTAACAGTATTACAAAAATTACAATCTTACATTTCAAGTTAAATCGAATTTTCCTCGTGTGTACAAGCATTG